TACGTTTTTATGCATTGATCTCTATTAGTCTATTCACTTGGTTGATCTGAATTCCTAGTTCGTTTTGTAGAAAACCCTTTTTCTTGATTTCTTACTCAAAACAAATAGTTTTTCTTGCAGCTAGATCACTGGAGATTAGTAGATTACAATTCACAAGTCATCCCCTCTTTGTTAGCTCCTCCCTCGGAGGCAACCAATCCATGGAGCTTTCCACTTTGACTCCAACCCTGCACAGAAACACATTAGCTTCAACCTTTGTATCTCTTTCCCCTCCTCTCTATAAGCTCACAGTTCCCAGACTAATAACCCAACCCAGAAGAGCCAAAATTGGGATTTTTGGTAAACCCAATTTCACCCCTATTGCAGCCATCTCAGACCCTCATGTTCTACAAATAGCTGAAACCCTAGAAGACTCACTGACTTCCACCTCCTCACCTACCCCACCTCTTTTGCAGAAGCTCAAAGACAGCTCCTCAGAGATACTACTCTCAACCCCTTGGCCATCTAGGAAAGATGAGCCCTTTAGGTTCACTGACACGTCTTTCCTGAAGAGCTCTCAAATCCTACCCATTCAATCCCCAAACCTTCAATTGTTGAGCTCTTTGGCTGTTTCTGGTGATACCGATTTGCCCATTTTGTCAATTGTTGATGGCTACATTGTGAACCATTCAAGTCAATCATCTCAGCTGTTGCCCAGTGGGGTGTTTGTGGGTGGCCTGTCAGACCTCAAATCTCAGGATATATTGAAAAGAGTTTCTGTACATATGTCTAGTTTTCAAGGGGATTTGTTTTGGGCACTGAATGGTGTGGGCACTCCTGATGTGGTTCTTATCTATGTGCCTGAAGGGTGTAGAGTTGAGACCACATTGCATTTGAAGCACTTTGCAGTGGAAGGGAGTGATAGAGAATCAAAAACCTTGCCAATTTCAAACCCAAGAGTGTTGGTGATGGTGGAGAAGGGAGGGGAGGTAGGTATTGTTGAGGAATATGTAGGTGGAGATGGTGAGAAGTGTTATTGGACTAATTCAGTTGTGGAAGTGGTGATTGGTGAAGGGGGAAAAGTTACTCATTCTTACATTCAAAACCAATCCTTGAATGCTGCACATATTAAGTGGACTTGGGTTCAACAGGTAAGCTTTGTAGAGCCAGTTCATGATGATCACGTTTTGTGCTTGTTTCTGTTAGACTATTGTAAAAATGTTACTCTTTTTTGGGCTGCAGTTGGATGACAATATCTTTGTTATTCTCTTAATTACTGGAATTCCTGAAGTTAAAGGTTTGTATAATTGCCATGGTTTTTTTATTGTTTCATGGAGGCAGGTTATTGATGCATTATTGGTCCTCGGAATTATATGGAAACCTATTAAGTTGTAAATACTATCTTTCTTTTTGGTGCAAAATAGCTTTAAGTTGAATTATGAAACAGATTCTCCTTGTAGGGGAGTTATCTACTGGGGTGGATTCATGTTTTGCTTGGTATGTTTTTTTACTGGTATTGTATTTGAGGGAGCAAAGGCAGTTATAAAATTTTGTCAAATGTTAAGGAAATATGAAAGTAAATAGACCCTTGCTTCAACTTTTCTTTTTGTTCATTTTTCAGTAATAATTATGTGTCTTGTTTTATTTGCCACTTACAATTTGATCTATAAAATTTCAGTTATGTCAAGATTAAATGATACTCCTTACATTCAACACTCTTTCCTCTATTTGTGTATTGTTTTGACTTCCACACAAATTAACTGAAGTTTTATTTGCAGGAATCTAGTAGTATCTACAAGCTCATAGAGATCAGCACTGGTGGAAAATTGAGCAGGCATAATATTCATATACAGCAAGCAGGCCCCGACACCGTCACTGAATTATCTACTTTTCATTTGTCTGTCACTGATCAAACACAAGATCTACACAGTAAATTAGTGTTGGACCATCCACGGGGATATTCTCAGCAACTACACAAGTGCATTGTGGCTCATTCATCAGGGCAGGCTGTTTTTGATGGGAATGTTCAGGTGAACAGGTATTATGCTTCCCTCAGTTTTTTGCAAGTGTTTCTTTTGTATGGGGTTTTTGGGTACTATTAAGATTCTTACATTATAGAAACACTAATTTGATTATATATGCAGAAACGCACAACAAACGAACGCAGGGCAACTTACACGGAGCCTCCTCTTGGAGCCCCGAGCAAGTGTGAACGTGAAGCCTAACCTGCAAATTATTGCTGATGATGTTAAGTGCTCCCATGGAGCTGCAATCAGCGACTTGGAAGAGGACCAGCTCTTTTACTTACAGGCACGGGGTATTGACATAAAAACTGCAAGAAAAGCTCTGGTTTTTTCCTTTGCAGCCGAGGTGGTTTCCCGTCTCCCAGATGATTCCATACGAAAGAAAGTTGAGGATCAAATTAGAACACTGCTCGAATCCACCAATCCCAAACCGTGAGTCTTCATAAATTATTTTGTAAAATCTTTATGATGTTGTTTGTGATTCATTATATGCTAGAAAATTAGAGAAATTGAACAATGATTGTTCAGTCTGCTTAATTAATTGGTCTTAATTGAGTATTTCAGTAAATGTGAGTAAAATTTTTTGTTTAAATAGAGTTTTTAATAGGGATGCAATTTTATACGGAGTACTAGTTAATGGCAAAGTGTATAGTCTATATATTAATTTTTTTTGTTCAATTCGAACTTCGTATCATAATTTGTTTAATTTGATCCCACTTTAAAATATAGTACAATTAAATGATTAATAATAAAAGTTATTAATGGTGTAATACACGAGCAACCAAAGGTTTAAGTTTTTCGTAATTAGGTGGCTTAATTTATTAATATGCCTGTTTGGAATGGATAAAACCAATATTTGTGTGGTAATGAAGAAAGTGAAGTAGCCATATACCTGTGTCAACAATGTGTCAATGGACTCACCCTAAACGCTTACCACTACTTCAAGGGACTTCTTATAACGAAGGCGCAACTTTATAGACCGTCATGACTCTGATATCCCTTGTTTGGATCAAGCGTTTACCGCTACGCCACAAACTATAGCTACTAGCGAAGGCGTAACTTTATTTTCTTATAGACCACCATCACATTTTCAGGAGGCATGGTGTTAGACTTGACCCTTTACTGATCTCCGCCCAACAATTCCTTAGCCACTAATTTATGAATTTGACTCTTTTTTGGCCTCTGCCCAACAAAAACTTACCATCACCCAAACTCACCTCATCAGGTTTTAGCCTTAGGATGGTAGAGACGATGAGAACTGTATGAAACTGTATTGAATGAACTTAAAATACAATTGTACAGACATGGGAATATATACAAGAGGAATCATAGGGAGACTGGAATAGGGAGTCATGCTATGACTCAAATACAAGAATCCTAATACTAGTCCTAATACTCCCACTCAACCACATGGTACACTTGTAACTTTGTAGCTTGTCTCTGAGAAAAGAAAATCTAGGACCAGGTAAAGCTTTAGTGAATATATTTGCAAGCTTATCTTTTGTTGAGATGAAATTTACTTGAATCTCTCCAATAGCAACTTTATCTCGCACAAAGTGATAATCTATCTCTACATGTTTGGTAAGGACATGGAAAATGGGATTGACACACATATATGCAGCTCCAAGATTATCACACCATAATTTGGGAACCGAAATCCCTGTAACACGGATTTCACGCAGAAGAGACATTATCCAAATTACCTCAGTACAAACATCTGCTAGAGCTTTATATTCAGTCTCAGTAAAAGATCTAGCAATAGTTCTTTGTTTCTTGTAGACCCATGATACAAGATTAGATCCAAGAAAAATAGCAAAGCCACTTGTAGATTTTCTATCCTCCGGACAACCGGCCCAGTCAGAATCAGAGAAGGCATGAATTTCTCTTGAAGACGACTTCCTGACTCGTAGGCCGAAATTAACAGTTCCTTTAACATACCGTAATACTCTCTTTAGTTGTTCCCAGTGAGCAACTGTAGGCGCATGCATGTGTTGACATAACTGATTGATTGCAAATGACAGATCAGGACGAGTAATGGTTAAATACTGTAATGCACCAGCTAAATTCTTGTATTGTGTAGGATCATCATGCAGAGTTGTTGCGATGGTAATAGACTTTGACGTGGGAATGGGGGGGGGGGGGGGGGGGGGTGGACAAGGACTTGCAGTCTGCCATTCCACCACGTTTTAAAATATCATGCATGTATCTATGTTGGGAAAGTAAAATCCCATCACTGTATTTAATTGCCTCAATTCCAAGAAAAAAACCTTGTTCACTAAGATCCCTGATTTTAAATATATGCAGCATAGAGTTTCGAAACTAGTTGAATAACTAGATTCGTATCGCTTCCCATCATAAGAATATCATCCACATAAACAAGTAGATATACACAATCAGATTCATGTGAGTAGTGAAAAAGAGACACATCCGTCTTGGATGCCTGAAAACCAATAGATAGTAAAAAGGTGTGCAAACGATTAAACCAAGCTCGGGGAGCCTATTTTAATCCATAAAGGGACCTTTTAAACATGCATACATGATTTGGATAGGAAGCATCAATATACCCATGCGGTTACTTCATATACACAGTTTTAGAGAGATGACCGTTCAAGAAAGCATTATGAACATCCAATTGCTTAATAGTCCACCTAGATGATAAAGCAAGAGAAAGAAGTAACCTGACTATGGTTGGTTTAACCACTGGGCTGAAAATGTCAAAGAAGTCCTGACCTAGCACTTGATTTAACCCTTTTGCTACAAGTCTTGCCTTATATGCCTCTCAATGGAGCCATCAGCTTTTCGTTTTGTACGGAAAATCCACTTACACCCAATAATGTTCATGCTTGGCTGAGATGGAACAAGTTGTCATGTCTGATTTTGTAGTAGGGCATTAAATTCTGGATCCATAGCCTCTCGCCATTCTGAAAGTTTAACAGCCTGAGTGTAACAAGTGGGATCAGAATGACAAACCTGAGCCGTTAAAACAGAAGGTGGAGCCTAAGACCGACTCCGAGTGTGCATCTCATGAGTCCGAACTGTGGACTTGATTGTTTTCCCGATAGGATGCCTACGTGGGCGTTTGACGAGATGGACCGCCTCGACAGGCAGCTCACGGTCCGACGAGGCAGATTGACCGGCGACGTCAGTAGGGGGTGGTGGAGGCGAGTCTGAATCGCTGTCGGCGAGACTGGGTGGGACGGCGACAGGACCGAGTGGTGGTGAAACCGCAGTGGGATGAAGAACCGACTCAGCCCGCGGGCAAATCTACACAGGTGGAGATGGCTGCACAGTATTTTTAGTAGCAAAAGGATAAACTGTTTCATCAAACCTTACATGCCTACACACATAAATCTTGTTAGTATGTAAGTCCATGCATCTATACCCCCGAAACGACTCAGGATAACCTAGGAAAACACATGGAGAGGATTGGAACGAGAGTTTATGAAGATTATATGGCATGAGATACGGATAACATAAACACCCAAAGACACGAAGAAAATAATAGGAGGGATTGGAATTTTGCACTTTAAAATGGGGACTAGGATTGGAATTATGCAGTTTCAAATGCAAAATTCCAGAATTAATATGGAACAGAGGCACGAGCTAAAAGAACCAGACCAGTTTCAACAATGTGTCTATGTTTCCGTTCGACATGACCATTTTGTTCATGAGTGTAAGGACAAGATTGTCTATGAAAGATACCTAATTGAGTAAAGGAATGATGCAATTTTTTGTATTAAGCTCCTAGATTAGATTGAATGGCTTTAATTTTTGTGTTAAAAAACCGTTCAACCATAGTACGAAACTTATCAAAGATAGCATACAAATTAGACTTTAATTTCATGAAAAAATACCAAGTGTAGCGAGTATAATCATCCACAAAAATAACGAAATAACGATAGCCATCAATTGACAAAAGGGGAGCTGGACCCCAAATATCTGTGTATATTAAATCAATGGCACTAGAACTGGAGGACTCAACACGTGACAATGGAAATCGAGAGGATTTACCCATTTGACACACATTACACAAACTAGAATTACATTGAATAGAATTAGTTGACCCACTAACCGAACATGACCAAAGAATACGAAGTAAAACACGATGATGTGAATGTCCTAAACGATCATGCCACACTGGCGGAGAAGTACGAGTTGTAAGGAAAATTGAGGGAGACGGTGTTGCAATTGGAAGTCTGTAGAGACCCCATGACTATTGCCTTTAAGTAGAATTTCCTTGGTGTTGATATCCTTCACAACAAAAAAAGATTGGTGAAACTCAAAAAACACTTTATTATCTATTACAAATTTCTGAACAGATAATAAAGAAGTAGAGACACCGGGAACATGAAGGATATTAGACAATTCGAAGGAACGAGATGGGGTAATAAAAGAAGCATGACCTACACAACTAATAGAGAGTGTCTTACCATCACCCACACGCAATGTGTCATTACCCGTGTATTCCTCCGATGTAGATAGGGCTGCAATATCCGGAGTCACATGATTGGTAGCCCCTGTATTAGGAATCCATGTCTGTGAGTCATTAGGATGTGAATCGGTAATTTGATACATCAAATTTGCTTGTAGAGGAGGATCATAACAATTGTAGCATTTTATAGTCGAGTGTCCCGTACGACCACATAATTGACAAACAATTGGACCATTGTTACCACCACTGCTGCCACGCCCACGGTGGCCACCACCTTTGTCGGAATTTGATCGGCCACCGCCGCCTCCACGCTGACCCCCGGAATTCTGCCCGCAACCACCTTGGTTACCACCACGATCTTCGCGGCGATTGTTACCACCTTGGTTACCAATTCTTATTTACCACCAAATTAAATGACTCATAAATTAAACAAAATGAGCACTTCATAAATTTGTATATTGAACTGTTGCCATGAATAGTAAACATGAACAACAGAGATTTAAAATGGACGAGTTGGCTCACCATTTTCTATTTATTTTTTAAATTTGATTGGACTAGTTTGGTTAAAATATGTGTCTGATTGAGCAGATCAAACAATAAATATCTTGGCTCAACTCAGGATAGAGCCAAAAACATTTTAAAAGCATTTAATTTTTTTCTTCAATTTCTTTAGTTTAGACTTATTACATTTATCAATAACCTATTAAAATATCAAAAAATAGATTCTGTTAGACCAGACCAAACAATAAAAATCTTAACCTGACCACAAAAAAAAAAAAAAAAAAAAACTAATTTTTATTCTTCAATTTCTTTCATTCAAAGTTATTACATTTTTCTATACATGATTAAGTATGACAAATTATTGTGTTGACCATGATCCACACAGTGGACCACGGTCCAAAACGACATCTTTTTTATGTTTAAAAAAATTTCTTGTTCCACACGCGTGTTAGAATAATGAACATTCTGGGGTTAGATGATGTATTTTATAATTTAGAATAATGTACATTATGTATTAGAATAATGTACTTTATATGTGTTAGAATAATGAAATTTCTGGTGTAAGATAATGTATTTTATGAGTTAAATAATGTACTTTATGTGTTAGATAATGTATAATGTAATTTATGTGTTATAATAATAAAATTTCTGAGATATGATAATGTATTTTATGAGTTAAAATAATATACTTTATGTTTTATAATAATGTATGTTATGAATTAGAATAATGTATTTTATGTATTTTTTGACCGTGATCGAGTAGAACCAAATAATAAAAATCTTTGTCGAACTTGGCCCACATCTCAAAAAATAAAATTTTTTTTTTTCAATTTCTTTAGTTCAGAACTATTATATTTATCAATTTATGTATTTATTTTTCTAATAATAAGTTATATGTTAAAAAAAATGAATCTAAACAAAAAAAAAATACATTTTTTGGACTTTTAGTCAAATAAAAAAAAAAGTTTTCTAAATTTAATGCAAACACTAAAAAATGAAAATTCTTTCTGAAAATTAATTTTTAGAAAAAATTTCTGTACCTTATATGAAGTATTATAAGGAGGGGAAGTACACTATAAAATAATTAAAAGTTACCAACTTAAAGGGGTTGATGCTTCCCTTCAAAAAAAAAAAAGGGGGTTGATGCTAATGTTCTCTATCTGTGGTAATTTATCATATTGCATTTAAAAATGTTTTGTTTTGAAATAACATCAGCTTGTGAACGTGCCGGAGTAGTTATCGGGCATGACTAGAAATCATGGGGGCTCTGCACTTAAGGTTTTGATTTTAATGTTTATGATTAAGTTTGTTTGTTTGTTTGTTTTTTTTTTTAAATTTTATTTTATTGGTTTTATTTGGTTTAGAGGTTCAATTTTTACTGCTTAGAGTTTAACATGTACGATTTAGGTTTAAAATTTAATTTTTCCGTTGACATTTTTAAAAGTTATCTCGAAATGCACATTATATTGTTAAAAGTGCACATTATAGTGTTAAAAATTGTACCGTAAAATTAGCGATAATTACAATATTGTCACATTTTTTTTTTAAGTTGACAATAACTACAAAAATGGTACTATGTTTTTTTTTTAAAAAAAAATTTATTTGATCTGTCTGATTTTTACAAATGTAAGACTAAGATTGGTTCTTAGTTTTTTCTTGAGGGTGTGTTCTCATACAATCCAAAGCCTATGTTTGTTTTTGTTGTTGTTATTGTTGTTGTTGTTGTTGTTTTTTTTTTTTTTTTCTTTTTTGTTGTAAACCACGAGCTGGTCCGAGTATTTCTTGTCCGTTAACAGTCCAAAGCCTATGTTTGGTAGTCTATTGCCTTTTACAATCTAAGGGTGTGTTTGGTTGCGGAATACATTATCATGTTTATTTGCCTACTTTTGCTATCCTAGGATTCAAACCGTTTACAAAATTCATTATCCTTTTACTCTACTTTTGAGGAATGGAATAAAATATAATGGAGAAAAAAATGAAAAACAATATGTTATTGTCCATGTATTAAATATGTAATTTTAATATGTATACACATACATATGCACATATATATATATATATATATATATATATATATATATATATATATATATATATATATATATATATATATATATGTATTATATATTTATTTATTTTGATTCCAATTTCTATTTACTATAAAAAAAAAAAAAGACTTATCCTACTTAAACTCATCACCGTTACTATCTCGATTCTAATGTTTGAACCATACACACCCTAAGATTATATGAAACTTAAAAGGAATTGATGGTAATGTCCTCAATTTGTTGTGTTTACATTTTTTGAGTTTAAAAGCTAAAAAATATGTTGTGTTCCTGAGATTATAAGGAGGAAAGTATAAAAGTTGCCAACTTAAAGGGGTTGATGCGAATTGCTAATGTTCTTATCTGTGGTTATGATATAATTTATTTGTTTAGAAACAGCATCAGCTGGTGGACGTGCCGGAGTGGTTATCGGGCATGACTAGAAATCATGTGGGCTCTGCCCGCGCAGGTTCGAATCCTGCCGTCCACGCATGTTTCTTTTCCTTTGCTCAGAGAGTCAGAGGTCTGTGTATTAGCCCGCCAGGAACAAAACGAAATGAATAAAGCATGAGCCATGTAATCTGCAACGACCCTGCTCATTTTATCCCATTAAGGGATCAAATTTCAACTTTTGAAATAATTAAATAACTAAAAGTACAATTTTCTCTTCTATAAATGAAGATATAAACATATATTTTACATTAAATATCAAATTATTTTATTATCACCACGCCTCCAAATTTAGCGTATGTATTATAGCTCATCAAATTTATGGACTCAATGATTATTCCATGAACAAAAACAATCGATGTTGACCTATACCTCAAATCACGGGCGGATCCAGAAAATTATGTGAGTGAGGACGTACTTAAAATGACTTTAGAATTGTTAATGTCAAAATATCAAACACCTATAATATGGTTCAAATGCATTATAAATTATAATAAAGTGTTTATGATAGACTACGTGATAGTTAGGAGCGGAGCCAAAACTATACTTGGGTAGGGTAAAATTTTAGAAGACTTTGAAATGTTATAAAAATATTTATATCAAAATATTAAACATAATCAATTAGATAAAATAGTTTGAATACAAAAGAAATTATATTCATAAGAGTAAAAGACATTTTTGGTCCTAGACTTATAGTGGCTTGGACAATTTTAGTCCTTTATAAAAAAGTTTGCCATTTTTTGGACAGACTTATTGTGACGAGGACAATGTTAGTCCTCCGTCTATTATGTGGCTAGTTGACCGTTTAAATGAGGGGTATTTGTGTCAATTGAGTTAAAGAGACATAAAGTGCTTCCCAATAAATTCACTGGCTTCCCAACGAAGTAACAGGGCAAAACGTGAGCTCTGGAGATAGGCATAATGAGTCAATAGAGTCATTGGAGATTGCAAGGCCTCTAGAAACTGGGGATACCGAAGAAAGGAAAGAAAACAGTCACAACTGTTCGAGTATTCGAGTAATGACAAAGATGAAGAGACCATTGGCCATCAACCAATGGAAAGTGAGTGGGGCTGGGTAAGCGAGTATTCTCACATGAAAAAGAATTTTAGTCAAGATTGGATAACTGATGTTTCTCGCCCACAGAGTGTTTGGGTAGATCTTAGGCAAGCTAGATACCAAGAAATGCTCGATCCTTTCTTAGATAATCATGACATTCAAGAACGTAACTCCTTCAAAGGTATTTCACTCGTCCCGTTGGAAATGACCAACTTATCAGGATAAATTCTGTCACCTAATATCGAGCAAATCCCTATGATTTTGTAACGTTAGATTGATTATTACTGCACATAGGAGAAGCGTTTCAAATTTCCTTACTGGAGGCATGAGGGAGATCATAGATCGGCTGATGATATCTCGCTCACAAGGACACCAAACAACAATCGATATTGTTGTGCAAGAAGTAAAAGAACAAGCTAAGCAGCAGCAGATGATGGTGGCAGGGTGGAAGAACGACGATGCATTGCAAGTGGGGAAGGTGAATATCAAGAAGAGGAAGACGAAGGAGAAGTTGATAACCGTGAAGAAGATAATGGTGATAATGATGGACCCGCATGTTCAGTTGATCAGACGTGGAGCTACAATCAAGGTCGTGATTTGGGCGATGACTCTGATCAGACCACCTCTGCATACTCCCAAAACAACGAATCATACCGGTCCTGATACTTTGTAATTTCATCGGATCAGACATAATAACTTGCATTGACAGGAAATACAACTCATATATGAACTAAAGACTCACATGGAGCAACTCCGTCAAGAGATGTTTGAAGTACAAAGATCAATAAAGAGTTGTGTGAACATGCAAATGAAACTACAGCGTTCCATCAAGCACGAAATCACAGCCGTGCTTGCTCAATCAGGTAATAACGAAGGGTGGTTGGCATCAAATTCGCCACTTTTTATCTGTGATTCGTAGAGAGGTCTGAAATAATACATTGAAATTTGGCGAGTGCAGGGCATAAGAGGGGGAGAGGTTCAGGCAATAAACAACGCTTAACGCAAAGGGAATTGTTGCATTTGTCACGACCTGAAAGTGGACTCTCTTCTTTACAGGCAATATTCACAAAAGCTCATAAACTTTGAATTGAGGCTGATGGATATATTGGAAATGACCCAATAATAATAGAGACCCGGGGTCGTATAACCCGAGCAGCCCAAGAAGAGTCTCAAGCCTGGAGCTTACCTCCGGGCCCAGAATGATGGGCCTTGACTTAGTCTCACGGCCCACCACATGGGCTTGGATTTGGTCCCGTGGCCCTCCACGAATTTAGCAGTAATTGATTGGAATTGCCTTTGCATAAATAGCCTAGTAATTGTCTTGTTAAGGGCACGTTCTACCTGGTGTCCTAAACACTTATGTTGCATTGTTATTACACGTTCTTATCGATGTAAATATCAGTCTCTGTGACTATATTCGTACCGATATTCATACGCCTATTATCCTTTTAACCATATACTTGTTACATTTA